TTTGTTTTGTCAAAGTTTCACATTGTTTTTGTGAAAGTTTCACATTGATTTTGTGAAAAATCTCTCTTTGTTTTTATGTGAAAATCTCACATTGTTTTTTTTTGAAAATTTCACTTTGTTTTTGTGAAAATTTCACATTGTTTTTCTGAAAATTTCACATTGATTTTGTGAAAAATTCACTTTGTTTTTGTGAAAGTTTCACATTGTTTTTGTGAAAGTTTCACATTGTTTTTGTGAAAGTTTCACATTGTTTTTTGAAAAAAATGTCTTTGTTTTTTTGGGAAAATCTCACATTGTTTTTTTGAAAATCTCACTTTGTTTTTGTGAAAATTTCACTCAGTTGCCCAACTACGTTTACATGAAATCTACCTGAGCTTTAGCCTACTGATACCTATCCAATGCTTGACGTAACACGAAATTATTCGTCTTCCACCTTTAGAAGGCACGTAAGCTATTAAAGTTTTAAGAGTTTTGCTGTGCTGCTCCGAATAAACTGTCCACAAAACTATGAAGTTAAGGTCTGCTTAAAATTTACAGCTAATTTAATTGAAGACCTGGTGTGCGTAAATAAATTATGAAGTTGAAAGAAGAGTGATCCTAATGTATTTTGTCTGAACAATACAGTTTAATGAGTTCATACTGAAATAAAACACTGGCCGGTTTAATTTTTAATTTCATTCGTTTTATTGGTGTGTATAAGTGTTTTTTATAGAAGAAAATTTGCCAATAGTGTGATAAAACGTCATATAGCAAGTGACATTCAACCTTCACAAAAAGAAGTTGTACGTTTGACTTCCCTTGCTGGCACTTAATTGTCCCAAAACAGCAGAACAAGCAGCATCTTGTTCCACATATAAGGAAAGATTGGAGTAGAAGCCAAGTTGTGCAGAACCTAATGGATTTCTTTGAAGAGAAACCTCATGGCACAAGATGAGAAACATTATAGATATGCAATTGCTATATCTTTTTTTATTAGGCCTGCAATTTAATGCGAATCATTACCTTTTGCAGTGCAACATTAACTGTAAGTATTTAAATATTTATTTCTGCTTTATTCTTTGCTTTTTATATCGACATATCGTTGTTATGCATTTTATTAAGATACTCGGTGGTTCCCGAACACATTTTTGCGGTATTTGGTGTTTGGTTCATACGTTGTCGTATTTTGTGAACAGTAATTGTGTGGGTGGGTGAGTGTGAATGTGTATGTTAAGAAATCTGCTTAACTGATTTATTTAAGGTTGTGAATAATTACAAGCGACTTACCTAACCTACTAACGACCTACTAACCAGAACGATCAAACATGTAATGAAATTACCGGGCTCAAGCCATATACCTTAATTTAACTCTGTGTGCCTACGAAACGCAGTAACTGAATGGTGTTTCATTTTTCAAAATCGGTATAAATCGATATAATCGGTGTATTCACGTTTCTTTTGAATGAAGAGCGCATTGCATTTTGGGTCCAAGCGCACTGTATTTTGGGTCCATATTTTTACCCAGAATTCATTTCATAACCTAAAATCCTAAATTTTGCCTGCTGTAAGCTTTAGGTCCGCTGACTTACGCACTTGCTGTGGCAGCAAATAATCGTGGGGATGTACACTGTTCGGTCGTTTTGGGGAATTTTTCGAGGGTCGCTTCAATAATCCTGGTTCAAGAGCTCACGGCTTGCTAGCTAAATCATCCTTTTTATAAAGCATTTGCACTTGAAGTGAATTTATTGTCTTTCTCTGTGTACAAACAATTAGAGGAGTTTACCAAGTATTAAATTGCATTTGAAGGACATCTCTGCAGATGAACAAGTATGAAGCATCGCGTTGCGCCTTCCACACAAAGAAAGGGCGTTCTTTGCTATAAATGTTTATATTTGGTTTTCTTGTGTGTATGATGCAACTATAAAATTTATATCACTTGTGAAAGTGATCTTTACTAGAAAATATTTATCATTTTTGAAAGTGATCTTTTTTGGTCTGTGTGTCTTATAATTATAGGTATTGAATAGTAGGCGTCTTTTAGATCCAAAGAGGCTATAAAGCAATTAGGCGTTACTAAATTCACTATAGTATGGATTGAATCCACCTTAAAATGATGGCAAGCTACATAAGTTGAGTATGTGCATGTGACAACTAAGCTACAGCACCAACTGAATTAGCAATAAGATTTCCCTGGCATCGGATATTTGCAGTATTGACAATGTAGCCTTAAGGAGAGTTTACATGTTTGTAGATGTAGATCGTTCAGGTTAGTAGAGTCCTGAGAAGGACTATTGTTGTTGTCGTTGACTGACGTTTTGACAACCTTAGCGGTAATCATCTTCAGAGTCAAGATGAAGTCTGAAGGATGCCTACAAGTCATTCAAAGTATACATTCTTCCACCTACCTATCCCTTACTTTCCACCCACATGTCATTTCTGTTTGTCTGTTTTGGCTTGTACAAATTAAACCTCGTTAATAAGAAATAAAATTTACTATGGTTCTTTTCTTGTAAATACTTTCCCGCCCTCTTTCATCTTTTTTATTGTGATTTGCATTTTGATAAAGTTCAGATTGAGATTATCCGACAGTGCTCCTAATCACTCGGCTCAGAACTGAACTACTCAACTGGAACAGGAAGCAGTGGGGAAATTGGAAAGTCGTACGCATTGAGCTCTATAAGACCTGGAGGGGCAAAGGGGCCTGGGCCTCGTGGTCAAAAACATGGCGGATTTTGGTGGTCAAAGTCAGCGGAGAGACGCGGGCTCATGAAATGAAATTTTTGTCGCCCACCCTGATTTGACCACCACGATTGCGAGTATAGAAAATATCAAAACTATTTATTTTCCTAACATAAACACTTTTTTAAAACTTTATTTATTAAACTGCCAACTTTTGTGGTTTGCGGATGCTGAAATAACGACAGAAAAGGGAACATTTCTTGACTCCGGTAAGTAGCACAGTATTAGTTTTACTATTTTGTTTTTAACACGATACTTGAAGCTTGTTTCTACTACTAAGTTTTAATTTAAAGTTATTTTGGTCCAGTCTTGTTTGTTCTTCAGTTAATCGCTCGCCAGACGTGGCGAAGCTGTCAATTTTTATCGAGTTTTGCATCCATCTTGTATCGTGATCAAGGTATCAAGCTAAACTCTCCTGATTCGAATTGAGTTCATCTCCCAAAAATGGGGCATAATTTGTTCATGTTTTTTTTTAAAAGATGAAGGGAAAGTTTACAACAGAGTTGTGTTGAAATTGAATGCAGTGCCATGCAAAATTAATGAGAACTATGCTATATGTTGTATAATAAAAATAACTATTAAACTGTTTGCCTGCTCAATTTGAGTGACTGTATAGTGTAGACAATTATAATGAGATTGGAAAGTTGGATTTATGCAAACAATTTTAAAGTACTACTTAGTGTTTCTGTAAATGAAGTATTTATTGTTGTAGTAAACAGGTTACTACTTCAAAACCAAGATGAAAGTAGTGTGTTGAACAATGTGCTAAGATTTGTTTCTACCTTGAAATTTTTGTTCAACAGTAGCTTATGATTATATCATTAATATGCATGAAAATTTAAACATATTATTGTCTCATCTCATCAAATCCATACTTGGTATGATTCCAGATGATCCACAAATTCACATCGGATGCATTGGTTACAATGAAGTTAAATGTAGAAGAAGCAAGAATAGATGGCAAAGAAATTCTTTGTGTCTTATGAAGAATTAGTAGAAATCAATAAAAAGAATTCTTTAAACAAATTGTAAACAAATTTAAATTTGCTCATGGTCAAGCAACCCAGTCAAAGAAGCAAAGTCTGTCTTCAACATGTGACCTTTCCAATTATTTAGTTTCTTTGTACAAAATACTATTTTCGAGAAACTTGATTTGTAAGTCTTTCATTAATATTTTTTTACCAAGAGATAAAAGGAACTAATTCAAAGGCTTGATGTAAAATACAAAGATTCAACAAGTTGTTTATCATTTAATTCTTAAATGTTAGTTTGTACATATAAATAATTAGTATTGGTAGCTGTAAGTTGGTTAAGCAAAACAGAAGAGTAGTAGTGCTCGAAGGGGTTAGTACTTTTGAAAAATTATTCTTGTTCATGACATATATTACACAATTCCAAAAAACTGTAAGTAATGCACAATAATATCTATAGAACTTGATAAATTTGTTCACCTACACTGTCAAATAACTATTTTGCCTTCATGCAGCAATAGACAGTGTTTTTGTCAGAGAAACCAATGCACTTTAGTTTCCAAGTTTGTAATTTCAATGGAAAATTAATGTAGTTCTGTTCAGTAATAGATCCAAGATTCTGCCAAGCTGTTTACAAAATAAAAATTACCAAGCAACAGTGTCATGGTGTTTTGAATTTTTTTCTTTTTTGTAGCTCTTCTAGTTCAACATACTTTCTTTATGAGTTTTCAGTAGATTTATTAGGTAATGACAATACACTTATGATACTTATCCATGGTAAATTTTCAGTTGACTTATGTCGTAGGACTGAAGCAAACATTTTCTCGCTTCCTTTGGAGCATTTTTACACAGATTTATCCATTTGAGCAAGAAAAACAGTTGCACCAAACTGTTTAGAAACAGTAAACACACAGAAGCATGAAATAATGTATAAGTTTGACGAGATTGACAGGTCTACTAAAGAATGCCATTTGATTTTCACTTTTAAAAGGTTAAAATGTCATAAAATAACTTAAATGTTACATCCAAAATATGCGTTTCTCTACCGTCGATTTTCTTTATTTTTAAGTGTCCGTACTGTGTTTTTCACGCAATGCTGAAGCATTATTTTCACATGATATGCTGTCGGTATCGTAATTGTTTTTTTTCTCACTTGTTTTCGTTCATACAAACAGTATTAGAAATCAGGAGGGAGTGAATATTGAAAAAAATGTTTAAAGTGGAAGTTTTGACCACCAAAATCCGCCATTACCGCCATGTTTTTGACCACGCGGCCGCGCGCTAATAATTTATACTAATTTTGTTGACGTTTCCCCTCCAGTTATTATAGAACTCAATGGTCGTACGACGGTCGATCACTGGGCTCGGTTGTTTGCCTAGAGTACATTGACAAATTGGATAATTTCTGTGGATTTTGAGATACAATAAGGTAAATTACTGTTGCTTAAAGTGTTTCTCTGCAGGTTATGAATGCTAGTGTCATCAATTTGAAGTATTGAGTTTAAGAGGCTTGGAATTTGTGCCAATATGAATATGTCCAATCCTAAATTGTACACGTCGTCGTATGATTTAGTGTAACGAATTAAGTTACTTGGTGTTTCATACTTTTGATGATTTAAATCAATTGCTTTGAACGTTGTTTGTGACTATAAAAACTAGAAGATGTTGAGCAAATACTGTAAACAATTCTATTTTAATGCATATCAGCTGTCATTTCAAATATCGTAGCTGCTAATTCGTTTCGCTTTATTAATTTTAGAAGTACTTCTACGGTAAAAGGAAATGTTATTATTCCTTTAAAGTTTTCTTGTCTTTATGCGCTTTAATTACCAGTGACCATCACGAGCTATTAGGGCGAACGACCGCATACGTATTTAGTTTATTGTGGCATGTTTTCATGCGCCTAAATTGTGACCTTAAATATGTTGTGTTTATTTGTAAGAAACAATAATCAATATCGGTATTTTTATTTGCTACTGGATTGTCGGCATTTTTATTCTAAACGTTACATTTTGGTGTAATGATTCCTAGCAATTTCACGCTCAATCTTGGTTGTAAAAACTTCATGGGTTTAACACAACCATTTGGCAGCTCTCACACCTTGCGCTAACGTCAAAATACGAATTTCGCTTGTCATTCATCAGAACATATGTTAATGCAATTGCACCCAACTTTTGCAAATTTTATTTTGTAGAAGTAAAAGATCATGTAAAATGCAACATATTACTTATACAACAACATTTATTTTTGTCATGAAAAGTACATTATGAGTTCTGTTATATAACTACATTATGTTAAGTTTACCTTGTTTATGAAGTAGTTAATTAAACAATGTACGCATACCGCATACAAAATCTTGGTCATTTTTCTGCTATTGTGTGACCTGTCCGAATACTAACAATTTTATGTTTGTAAGGCAATTGGTTAACAAACATTGCTAACCATTTTTTCAATTTGTAAGTATAGCAATTATTGATTGCTAAATGACAACATTCACTTTTAAGTTATATTTAATATAGAAGGATACAAAGTTTGTGCATGATTTTTGTTTTAAAAACATCAATCTTAATCACTCTACCAACAATGTCTATATTCTTTGTTTCATCATTTACAAATATATTAAAGCTACTTAGGTTTTATTGAAGAAATGTGAATTTGTAGTTAATTGCATTGCTTTCTGTTTTATTCCATGTATAATTTGCAGATAATAATGTTGTAAAACTGTTAAGACTTTACCTTAAACTGTTTATTCAATAGACTTACAGATGTACAGATGTCAGGAGAAATATCACCAGTACAAGATATAAATATTTTCTTAATGCTTTTCAGGTCACCATGAATGAAAGCTACTATAAAGTTACACGTATAATTGTGGTTCTTTTCAACTTCATATTTTTTGTAAGTGTGAGAAAGACAGTTGAAATTATCTACAAAAGTCTAAAACAGCTGTTGAGCAAACAATATTATGTTTGACAGTGTCAGTGTGACCAAGGTGAAATGATCTACATTTAAAAAATAAATGTCACATACTTACGTTAAAGTAATTAATTTTCAATGGGTTCTACATGTATTTGATGTGCAACAAATGACTCGAAATGTAATTAAGTTGGATGGAACAATACTTTAATGTACAATGAATGGCACATTATGTAATTCAGTTTCATGCAGTAGTACTTCTAAGTACAATGAAAGACATATTATGCACTGTGTCACTCACACCACAAAATTATTTCTGTATAGATTACTGGATGTGGTATTCTATCATTTGGTATTTACGTACAGATAGAGAAAGGTGATTATGCAGCAGTGTCAACAACAAAAGGACTTACAGCTTCATTATTGCTTATTGTTGCTGGATTTGTTACTGCTTTAATATCTTTTACTGGATGTCTTGGTGCTTTCAAAGAAAAGAGGACGCTACTGTGGATTGTAAGTAGTCTAAATCTCAACTTTTTGTCTTTGTCTTCAAAGAGAAAATAGGACTGTTAAACGAACTGTTTTTTCAGGAAATTATATGATTTGTGCATCTATATTTATTCGTCATTTATATGAAAGTGTTTTGTTGCCAACTTTCAAAGATTTTAGTATTCCACATGGTTTGTTCAGCAATTGAAGTGATAATTTACAAATGTTTTTCATGTAAAACCAATGTAATTAGAATGGGTTCTTGCTACACTAATCAGTCGATTTGATCATCAAAGTTAAGAGAAAGCTCTTCACAAATTTCCATGTATTTGTAATATACAATAAAGACCAATTCCACAACATATTTTTTTCAATTATTTTGCAGAGCAAATTTATATATAATTTTTCACATAGCAATCTACAATTTTTTCTCTGTAAAGATTATGAAGTATACAGATACAATTATGGAAATTCTATTCCAAACACATCTAAGTTTTTCAGCACTCAAAAGAAAGACAGTCTTGTTTCTTCCTCAAGTATCAGTTATGTGTTATGAGCACTCTAGGCTTTGGTTATTGAAATGAGACCAAAAAAGTTCCTGGATTTGGTTGCCAGAGAGGCAATTTTCTTTTGCACTACATTTTGATAAATTGTACCAAAAAAGTTCTCTTCAACTGGCCAAATGTCTGCCTGTATAATAATATAACTTTTAATTTTTTAAGTTTCTGATCATGATGAGTTTGATTGTGATCCTGGAAATTGCTTCTTTTATCATTGCTTTGGTTTACCGAATGAAGGTATACATATTTCACCACATGCAGAAAGTTTGCATTGTGATGTAGTTTTATCTGGATGATTTTGTAAGGGAGGCTGTTCTAGTTTGAATTTGGAACTGGGTTTGGGGCTACTTTGATGTTGTTCTGTGCCAAGTTTGCCCTCTTAAATATGAATGATAAAAGCTTTTTCGTAATTGGTTGTTATAGTGTAAAATTGACTTCCCTTCTGCTACACCTCCAGCCAAGGCTAGGGGGAGTGGGCACCCCTACTGCAACCCCTTCAGCCAAGGTTAGAAAAATGTGCAACCCCCCAGCCTCTTAAGCCAAGGGTAGGAGGAGTGCACCCCTCCTGCAACCCCTTCAGCCAAGTTTAGGAGGGGCATGAACACCACTTAAGTCTATTCCAGATTTACTCATCATCATTATAATCTCTCTGTTGACATTTCTTTTGTTTATCAGTTAAAAGATGATCTCCGTGGTGATATGATATCCTCCATTGAAGAGTATGGCGAAGATGACCAAGAAGGTATCACTAAAGGTTGGGATTGGATACAACAAAAGGTCAAGAATCTTTGTATTAATTACTACTTCAATTGCTGTTTTTTGACTGGTTGCAATATTTCCTTTTTTCCCCTCATTTTAACAAATATAGTTCCTGATTTTTTGAAAGCAGTTATTTCTGCCTCCTGTTTTCTTCACCTTAATCTTTTGTTGCGTTTATTGATAGTGGCATTTTTCATTTTTTTTTTTTGCTTTTTATTTGGTTTTTACCATTTCCCGTGAAAATCTTAACTGTATGGATAATATTGTTTTTCTTGCATGGCGAGATATATCTTTTCTGAGGTAGAGAGTATATCTGCGTGGTTCAATTTGGTTAGTTTGATGAAAAAATTTTATCAAATCTCACTAACATCAAAGCCCTACCCTTCATCCACAATGGAACAGTTACTGTACTTATTTATTATTACACCAACACAAACTAGTGACGTAGCCAGAGGGTTGGCTGGGAACCAGGCCCTCCAGGCAATGTATATTGTTTTAACGACAGTCTTGGCTCACCTCTCTGTTCACCAGTTACCTTTGAACGTAAATCCTTGCTACGACATTGACTCAAACGGGAAGAACTTGAAATCCTCAAATATGGCGTAAATTTCTCCTTCAAACATCCAATTTAAAGGTGCAGACATCCTCTCTACCTTTGAAAAGATACACCATGACTAAGCAAAAGACGAAGAAATCTAAAATCACATCAATACTGTTTTGTTGTCTCATTCATATGTCGGTTTGTCTGAGGTTTTCTGTTATATAGACCGTGACCAACGTCAATACGGAGCAGTTATGCTCAGCAACAGTTGCGAACACTTTATGAAATATTCAGATTGGGAGGGGGAGGGGGGGGCTCTTCCTCAAGGCATGAGATTTCTAGGGAGATCCTTGGGCATGCCCATAGGTATACTTTTAAAATTTGATCTCTAGAAATTTAATTTAAGGATTCCTACGTACGTACACATAATCCTTCACACACAAGGTTTAATGCGTCTACTGGCATGTGTATACATCACAGTTATGTTTTGTTAGTGTGAATTGAGGGATTCATGCAACATTTTTAATCTTTCAATATTAATGCCCCCCCTAGAGTCCGCCATTGCTCAACAATGTATGTATCTATACGTACAAGAAATGTTAAAGCTCAGATGAATGGTTGGAGTCGACTTACCAACCTTTAAAATCATTCTGTTTTCTAGATAATTTACTATTTCGTACTTTACACCACGTTTTACCGAACACTGTGAGCATGTTGACGGACCTTGGGAACAAATTATTTTTCATTGTCATTTATAGTTTGAATGTTGTGGAGTGAACGACTCATTGGACTGGGCGAGATACTATGAGAAAGCAAACGGAAGTCATAGGATTGTTCCTGACAGCTGCTGTGTCACAGAGAAGAAAGACTGCGGTAATCCATACAGAATGGCCAACCATTCAATCAAGAATAAAATTTACAATAAGGTATATGTGTACATTGTTAATTGAACAGTTGACAGTAAACTCTACTTTAAGCCATGTTCCTAAATGATAAAATGGCGACTTTGTTTCAAATAAATGGTGAATGATCAAAGTAATAACGTAATATTTCTTAAAAGAGCTGTTTAGAACCAGAGCATTTACTCAATAGTTCTAATTGAGTTACTGCTCTGTAGACGTTTTATTGTCGATTTCAGTTAACTTTTCAAATGGCGGTTGCCAAGTTACTTTCTAATGTTGCCAGTTACATTTCCAAATATGGATTATTCGATATGAACTGGTGAACTAAAGTTGCGAAGTACTATCAAACGCGAAAGGCCTTTGTACCCTGTAGACATTTGGCAATGAATCTGTTCAGTAAGCAAGGAAAAGCTTTACCAATAGAAGTAAGAAATGAAATACTTGAAAGGTGGTTAAATAACGAGCGTTCGACAAACATTTCGAAACAACTAAACCTACCGTATAAGACTATATCAAATATAACAGATCTATGGGTAGACACTGGTTCTATTGCACCTCGCCAGAGCGAACGTGATGTTCGAACCACGTGTACAGATGACGTTATTGCATACACTGAATATCTAAAAATTAATAAACCATCTATTTACGCAAAAGAGATTAAGCAATACCTAGAAAATAACAAAGTTTGCCTTCCAGCAAACATACCTAGCAGGTCATCCATTAGTAGAATTTTGAATAAAGATCTTGGTTACTCTTACAAGATAATAAGTCAAATTCCTCGAGAGACAGAACGGCTGGACGTTATGGAGAAGTTAGAAGGTTACGTAGCAAATATTTCATTGATTGATTGCAACCGTATGCATTTCTTTGATGAGTCGCCTGTAGTTGTTACGAGTGGCAACAGACGTCGAGGGCACAGTATGCAGGGTACTCCTGCATTTAAAATCCAACGATATTCTTCTAGTGCCACATTTACTGTAAATTTATTACATAATGTAAACGGCGTGTCGCATTATAACACTCTTAGAGGGCCGTCAAACGGATTAGAATTGCTAAAGCTTTTCCTTGCTTACTGAACAGATTCATTGCCAAATGTCTACGGGGTACAAAGACCTTTCGCGTTTGCTAATACTTCGCAACTTTAGTTCACAACTTCAGTACTCAAGTACACAACTTGTCAACTCAAGTTGACAAGTTCATATCGAATATTCCATATTTGGAAATGTAACTGGCAACATTAGAAAGTAACTTGGCAACCGCCATTTGAAAAGTTAACTTAAATCGACAATAATAGACGTTCTGTAAATGTTCTAATAGAAGAACTATTGAGTTAGTTTCAGAACTAAGAACTATTATTTTATTCATTCAAAATGGTACGTGTTAACTACTTTTTAAATAATTTTTAAGTCATGTTCCCTATAATGTAACTTTGGCATGTGTGGTTTTAACGTTGGGTAGAAAGGAGTTACTGAGTAAAAGCGCTACTTTCGCATCTCGCCATGCCTGTTCCGTAAATGCTAACTCTTCACTTCATCTCGAGTGGTAGTCTACGAATCACACGTACAAATAACACAAATTTCGAAAATTGACGTCTCGTGTTCTTGATATTCAAAATAGAAACGAGAATTTAAGGAGAGACAGAAAGAGAGAAAGTATATGTAGTATTTTGTCTTTATTCCAAAGTTGTCAAGTCATTGGTTCGGTCTTTCATTGGTCTATCTTAACGTATCGAGCCATAGGCGGCGCAAAAAATCACTTAGATAGTTTAAACAAACGATAACTCTCCCCATTCCATGGCAACAGACCGTGCACCGCAAACTTTGTATTGATTTATTGTATTTATTTTAAAGTAATTGGTTTGAACCCGGGAGTATCGTTACATGTTTGTAGATGTAGATCGTCCAGGTTAGTATAGTCCTGAGAAAGATTGTTTTTGTTGTTGTTGACTGACGTTTCGACAACCTTAGCGGTAGTCATCTTCAGAGTCAAATGAGCATTTGAGTTGTAAACAGTCCTTCTCAGGACTATACTAACCTGGACGAACTATATCTACAAACATATATTTATATTATTCATTTTCCTAAGGCAGGCAACTATTATCACAGTTACGAACACATGCCTTTATATAAAGTATTAATACGCGAAAAACAAACAAGAATTTAAAATAATAATTATATTACTAAAAAATAGGATGATTTTCCTACACATAAATTCATACTTAGCTTTTGAAATAGACGACAAAAATCCCGAATAATATGCGTGAACTTTTCAACTTGTTTGTAAAATTTTTCTATCTCCATGTTGGATACCTCGTATTGGTGCATACCCCAACTGCTCTTAAAAAGACTCTCAAATGCAATTGGCTAAAATTTGAAATTATCGTGGATAATTTTAACGTATCGAACACTCTACGGGACGAAATGAAAATTGTATAAATTTCCTTGAAATTATGTTTGTCGTGTTTTCAGGGATGCTTCAATGAATTGGAAGATTTCCTTAAGTATAACCTTTTAACAATTGGAATTATTGCTGCTGTGCTTGTCGTCATTGAGGTAAGCTAATTTTACAATAAAATCTTTTTCGCATCATTCAAATTTCAATGTTTCTTTTGTTTTAATGTTTGTAGCTTGTGGCCATTATCCTTGCCTTTCTTCTTATTACACATATCAAAGAAGCTGGAGAATTTGTGTGATGGCATCAAGTAAACTCGACGATCACATTTGAAGAAAGACTTTCGCATTTTTAGATTTTATTGTATAAAATATATCAAAGATTCTATAGATAAATTAATATAATCACGTGAACAAACAATATAAAAATAATATCCATTTATAAGCTACGTAATTGGGTGATAATTATGAGTTATGTCATTAGCTCAAAGTAGCTGTCAGAATAATAAATGGAGTTATTCTTATGATACAGCAAAACAATTGCCTAAAATTCTACGTCGACTTTTATTGAATCATTCTCAGTGTTAAAAACACGAGTGATTACTGCTGCACAACAACGAACGACAAAGACAACTAGGCTCTAAGTGCTCCATGGATGACAATCACTAACATTCCATGCTTCAAAGATGGCTGTTTTGTGTTCCTCTTCTTTTTCGTTTTTGCTTAAACATGTTCGATGGGGTTTACGGAGGTCAGGTTTTCGCTAAGGACTGAGAGATATCCTGTTTCTTGATTTGGTTCGTTTTGCTGCATGACAGGTGCGCCATCCTGTTTGAAAATGAAATCTTAACCACAAAAATTATTTCGTTCCGCACGACTGTTCAGCCCAAAGTATGCCGATTTTATGACAGTTGAAAATACAAATCTCACTGGCACCAATGTATCCACGAACATAGATACCTCCCCTCCCTCCTTGTTTTGCTATATGGAAACTAGATACTGTGGATGGTAACGCTCCCCACCTTCGTGACTGATATTCTTTTTCTAGTGATTAACTCAACAATTTATTCATAACAGCACACACTGTACTGAGTTTATTCCATAGCTCCATTGACCACTGTCATCGCTCCTTGCACGTTTGAAACCTGTTATCTTATGCCCGTTTTCACCTGTTTGTTTTCATATTAGTAAGGTAACTCTCTCTGCATGTATAAAGAAATTTGCAAAGTCGACTTCGTGAATGTATTTCAACTCTTTCAATGATTATTTAAAAATATTTCGCAGCATGAGATGGAAAATTTTCTTTGGTCAAACTATTTCGGCATTTTAAACTCACTTATCAAAATTGGGAGACATATGCAAAACGAATGTCGTTCGATCTAGCCTTTGCCAAAACGAACTAATGGAAACGAACTTAAGACCATGATTGCTAGCTTCCGTTTTAAATGTGCTCCGTTTAACTGCTTCATATATAAGTATTTCGTAGGAAAAGTTGCATCACTTCTGGCCAAGGCTTGTTGGTTCCACTCACCTTTTAATACCTTTGATCCATCATTTCATGGAACTCAATAGTAATTAAGTAAATCTGTCTCATAGAACAATGTTTTCATGAACGTGGAATGAATGTGAACTTTATAGTTCCAAGAAAGCAAACATTAAAACTCCATAGCATCCTTATGTCTTCCTAATATAACTATCTGAAGCTATTTCTTGGAATGTAAGACTAAACGAATTAACCTTTAGTAAAAAAACAAATTTGACTTAACACTTCATTCTTATAAATCATGTTTATATAATTATGTGTATATTGAAAATGTTCATGACGTGGCATTGTTTATGTACGTCCTGCTGAGACAGAAGATTGCAAAACTATCAACAACACAGGTTTAATTGAATTACAAATAAATGTTGACAAATTTTCATGTGGAAGGTATAAAATAAATAAACATACATTTAAAATAAACTTATCTACAATCTACAATCAATAATGAATGTTCAAATGAAAGTTTTTCAATAGTGGGGATGTTGTAATAAATCAAAATTTGCGCAAGTTTCGATGGGCTTGAATGCCAACGGACGACGTCTGCTTAGCTAAGTGCAAGGAAATGCCATTTTCTCGAAATTATACAATGTTTCATCAATACGCCGCAATATTTCAAAAAATGACATTTTGTGTGGGTTGGCTATATAAAGATCATTCAAAAATTTCAAATTTTCATTTTCGTTGATGGACGCTTTCACTTCGCTAAACACCCCAAACGGAATAATAATTTTACCAAGTTGTTTGGCATACAACAATTCCGCTGAACAGTAGTCGCTTTTGAAATACTCCTCGTTCAACCAAGCTATAAAACAATCGCATTTCTCCACTGAAATCTTTAAATCTAAAGCCAATGTACTTCCCATTTTCATATTCGTTTCATCAAGCCAAGTCAAGTATCCAAGGAAGTTGAGCCCTTCTTTGAACGAACGCATCTGTGGTTTGTCCTTAGATTTGTGGCTGAGAAAAAACTGAAATTTTGGAACGTATTTGGTGTACTTTATTTTCTGCTTTATAAGAGGGATAACGTTATCTTCTAAATATTTCCTCAGTTTCTCTTCGGTCGAAGCACTTTGTCGTAGTCGTTCCATTTCGTTGATGTTGATCAGCTTATCAACAATATCAAATGATACTAAGTCATTTTTGTCGCTGATTTTGAGATAGTGACATTTTTCAATTTCCAAAGACCAAATATCTCCACTGCCATCGTACTTAAAATTACACAGTCGAATAACAATGCCTCTTTCGAGCTCGTAATCGAATTGAAATTTTAGACACCAATAACCACTTCGTCCGTCTAGTCCGTGATTTTCCAATATCTTGATATTGCTTGGATTCAAAGACGTCGAAAGTGGCTGAACGCTCAATTTTGAAAGATCCAACTTCCCATCACTACCAGCCATGTTTATGGCAAGGTCATTATGATACGCATGCGTGACTTCATAGATCTCTCGATGCGTGAGTTTTACAATTAGATATTCACGGTATGGCTTGGAAGTGTTTGAGTCTTCCTTTTAGGAAGCAGTGTCGTTTGGGTTTTCTTTAGATAAAACATTCTTAATCCTGCATTGTTTGTCTGAGACTTAATTTTTTCACTTTGGTTTAGGAAGGCGAATACAGTTTTGTAAGCTATTTTTACACCCGTATACGTAAGTAAGATCTTCATTTAAATAATTAAATTTTTCCGTGTTTGAGTATATTACAACTCAATGTTTGGTTGTTTTGACCAAATTGAAACTGCTATCTTAAATTTCCTCAGAATATTTTCTTGCAGTCTTAGTCATCAAATTTTTACAGTGTATGTTTTGATTTCTATTGCTTGTTCGTAAAGATCTTTTAAAACAAAAACAGATGTAAACCAAAAACAGATAGCAGTACATTGACGCATTTTTAGCATAGTCACGTCCAAATGCTGTTGTTCCAATTTTTATTGTTTGTTCATAAAGATCTTTTGCTTTTTAGCATTTCCCCATCTTACGGTAAACTAAACCATGATTTATGAACAATGGCGCAGTTTTAGCATAGTCACGTCCAAATGCTATTACTCCAATTTTTTCATTCTTTACAACAGATCTCTCTACCAGCTCTCTATTTTATTTAGTGTTGACGTACCGTACAAAACACTTTCTGTCGGATGCTCAAGATTTCCATAATCTTTAGCTACGTAGAAAACAATGCTTAGTAGCCATTATTTCAGTTCTGTTGCCTTATACACAGAATGTCTTGTAACGTGACAATAATCAAGTGTTTTGTTTTATGGGTACTGTGTATGTTAAATGTGATTGGTTTATTTGCAGTCACATGACTTTGAAAAATTACAATGTTTCCCTCCAGCGAAAACAGCAAAAGTTAGCGCCCGCGCATTTTAATATCATAACAAAACAGCTATGAAGCTGAAAACGAAAAAAAATTTTCTCGAATCTATTCAGCGACGAAATTTAATTATGTAAATAAAATGGATTCAGAAAACACTCGAAAGTCGACTAAGAATTCTGATGTCACTCATAGTCTTTTACAACGAAATTTTGCAAGCCGAATCTCCCGAAAGACGTTCATTTTATTGAAGACATGTCGAAATCTAGTACCTTTCTTCCTGTATAGCAAAACAATCAACGTACATTTACTCGAGAAATATAGAGATTTGGTGTCTCAATTGAGACTTTTGGAAAGATGGTTTTATACTTATTAGAGTCACTGGTCATTTTAGCTATCATCTCATCTTTAAATAATTTGGATCGTCATTCATCCCTTGGAATGATAATATTTGCCAAATCGTCATCGTTTTGACTCGCCATCTTCCTTTGAAATGAATTCCTGCATTTTTGTTCCCGCTATAATCAATGATCAAGGAACCCAATCTACTGGATAACTGACTCCGGCGATATCGTATAGTAATGAGTGAGGCAAGCCGCCATCTTGAAAGGTGGCAAAACTGACCATATTTACGACTAATATCTGCTTTAGATGAGTTGATATAAGTTTGCAAAGTTGATGGTCTAGGTTTAATTCCTTAAATGTTTGATCGGATGGGTTTTTTAAACTTTGTTTTAGCTTATTTTTCATTTTGAGTTTTGCTTATTGCCTCCTTTCAAGATGGCGTCCTTGCCTCACCTTGACACGGTAATTAGACATTTAGAAGCCATAATATTCTCCTCACCATAAATATGATGAAATATGATGAATGTTGACATCTAGCCTCGAATACTGTCATATATTAGAGCGAACATTTTGAGGGTAGCTGAGGTGTAGTCATGAAATTATTTTTTCATTGTCATTTATAGTTTGAATGTTGTGGAGTGAACGACTCATTGGACTGGGCGAGGTACTATGAGAAAGCAAACGGAAGTCATAGGATTGTTCCTGACAACTGCTGTGTCACAGAGAAGAAAGACTGCGGTAATCCATACAGAAATACCAACCATTCAATCAAGAGTAAAATTTACAATAAGGTATATGTGTACATTGTTAATTGAACAGTTGGCAGTAAACTCTACTTTAAGCCAAGTTCCTAAATGGTAAAATGGCGACTTTGTTTCAAATAAATGGTGAATGATCAAAATAATAACGTAATATTTCTTAAAAGAGCTGTTTAGAACCAGAGCATTTACTCAATAGTTCTAATTGAGTTAGTGCTCTGTAGACGTTTTATTGTCGATTTCAGTTAACTTTTCAAATGGCGGTTACCAAGTTACTTTCTAATGTTGCCAGTTACATTTCCAAATATGGAATATTCGATATGAACTTGTCAACTTGAGTTGACAAGTTTTGTACTTGAGTACTGAAGTTGTGTACTTGAGTACAATCGTGACTAAAACACCACACGAGTACATACGAGTACATACGAATACATACGAGTGACATACAAGTACATACAAGTACATACGACTGACATACAAGAACATACGACTGACATACGAGTACATACGTGTAACATACGACTACATACTGGTCACAAGTACATATATTAGAACAGAACATACCCACGGAAACAACCACACATTCGACTGGACAGAAACTAAAGTACTCGCACGCGCACAGACTAAACACGCACGCGAATTTAAAGAAGCTTGGTACAGTAAAGACAACGACACAATAAACAGACATATCGACATACCCATCATATACTCACAACTAAAGGAAAAGGACATAAAAACTACAAACAACACCAAAACTAAAATGCTACACTCTAATATTATTAACACCAATCATATTCACAATACACCAAAACCCATGGCAACGCATTTCACCCCATCCAATCACATTAATCCACCCACTAATACAATTAGACGCTCTAAACGTCTCTAAGCTAAAAGCACGTGTAAATAAATATCCTCATTCTGATGAAGGCTCGAAGCAACGAGTCGAAAGCTCAATAAAAGTCACTTTAAATCCGGAGAAACTTTTATCTTTTATATATTACATGCCTGGATTACAAATTTTCAAACTTATATATATATATATATATATATATATATATATATATATAGTGTAGGAGTTACACTTATATGTATAAGTGAACTAAAGTTAACTTTAGTTTACTTTTTTATTTTTTCCTGTGTCCCGAGTGCAGGAGTCACCATTTTATTATGGTGATAGCCGGGAGGGCACATTGTATATACACTTTGTATATATATATATATATATATATATATATAACCCTAACCCTAACCCTAACCCTAACCCTATATAGTCGTATGTCACTCGTATGTACTCGTATGTCACTCGTATGTACTCGTATGTCACTCGTATGTCCTTGTATGTACTCGTATGTACTCGTATGTACTCGGGTGGTGTTTTAGTCACGATCCTTGAGTACTGAAGTTGTGAACTAAAGTTGCGAAGTACTAGCAAAAGCGAAAGTTCTTTGTACCCTGTAGACATTTGGCAATGAATCCGTTCAGTAAGCAAGCAAAAGCTTTACCAATAGAAGTAAGAAATGAAATACTTGAAAGGTTAAATAACGAGCGTTTGACAAACATTTCGAAACAACTAAATCTACCGTATAAGACTGTATCAAATATAATAGATCTATGGGTAGACACTGGTTCTATTGCACCTCGCCAGAGCGAACGTGATGTTCGAACCACGCGTACAGATGACGTTATTGCATACACTGAATATCTAAAAATTAATAAACCATCTATTTACGCAAAAGAGATTCAGCAATACCTAGAAAATAACAAAGTTTGCCTTCCAGCAAACATACCTAGCAGGTCATCCATTAGTACAATTTTGAATAAAGATCTTGGTTACTCTTACAAGATAATAAGTCAAATTCCTCGAGAGACAGAACGGCCGGACGTTATGGAGAAGTTAGAAGTTTACGTAGCAAATATTTCAATGATTGATTGCAAACGTATGCATTTCTTTGATGAGTCGCCTGTAGTTGTTACGAGTGGCAACAGACGTCGAGGGGCACAGTATGCAGGGTACTCCTGCATTTAAAATCCAACGATACTCTTCTAGTGCCACATTTACTGTAAACTTATTACATAATGTAAACGGCGTATCGCATCATAACACTCTTAGAGGGCCGTCAAACGTATTAGAATTGATAAAGCTTTTCCTTGCTTACTGAACGGATTCATTGCCAAATGTCTACAGGGTACAAAGACCTTTCGCGTTTGCTAGTACTTCGCAACTTTAGTTCACAACTTCAGTACTCAAGTACACAACTTCAGTACTCAAGTTCACAACTTGTCAACTCAAGTTGACAAGTTCATATCGAATATTCCATATTTGGAAAGTAACTTGGCAACCGCCATTTGAAAAGTTAACTGAAATCGACAGTAATAGATGTTCTGTAAATGTTCTAATAAAAGAACTATTGAGTTTGTTTCAGAACTAAGAACTATTGTTTTATTCATTCAAAATGGTACGTGTAAACTACTTTTTAAATAATTTTAATGCCATTTTCCCTATAATGTATACTTTGGCAAGTGTAGTTTTAACGTTGGGTAGAAAGGAGTTACTGAGTAAAAGCGCTACTTTCTCATCTCGCCATGCCTGTTCCGTAAATGCTAACTCTTCACTTCATCTCGAGTGGTAGTCTACGAATCACACGTACAAATAACACAAATTTCGAAAATTGACGTCTCGTGTTCTTGATATTCAAAATAGAAACGAGAATTTAAGGAGAGACAGAAAGAGAGAAAGTATATGTAGTATTTTGTCTTTATTCCAAAGTTGTCAAGTCATTGGTTCGGTCTTTCATTGGTCTATCTTAACGTATCGAACCATAGGCGGCGCAAAAAATCACTTAGATAGTTTAAACAAACGATAACTCTCCCCATTCCATGGCAACAGACCGTGCATTGCAAACTTTGTATTGATTTATTGTATTTATATTGAAGTAATTAGTTTGAACCCGGGAGTATCGTTACATGTTTGTAGATGTAGATCGTCCAGGTTAGTGTAGTCTTGAGAAAGATTGTTTTTGTTGTTGTTGACTGACGTTTCGACAACCTTAGCGGTAGTCATCTTCAGAGTCAAATGAGCATTTGAGTTGTAAACAGTCCTTCTCAGGACTATACTAACCTGGACGATCTACATCTACAAACCTATATTTATATTATTCATTTTCCTAAGGCAGGGAACTATTATCACAGTTAGGAACACATGCCTTTATATAAAGTAATAATGCGCGAAAAACAAACAAGAATTTAAAATAATAATTATATTACTAAAAAATAGGATGATTTTCCTACACATAAATTCATACTTAGTTTTTAAAATAGACGACAAAAATCCCGAAAAATATGCGTGAACTTTTCAACTTGTTTGTAAAATTTTTCTGTCTCCATGTTGGATACCTCGTATTTGTGCATATCCTAACTGTTTTTAAAAAGACTCTCAGATGCAATGGCTAAAATTTGAAAGTATCGTGGATAATTTTAACGTATCGAACACTCTACGGGATGAAATGAAAATTGTATAACTTTCCTTGAAATTACGTTTGTCGTGTTTTCAGGGATGCTTCAATGAATTGGAAGATTTCCTTAAGTATAACCTTTTAACAATTGGAATTATTGCTGCTGTGCTTGTCATCATTGAGGTAAGCTAATTTTACAATAAAATCTTTTTCGCATCATTCAAATTTCAACGTTTCTTTTGTTTTAATGTTTGTAGCTTGTGGCCATTATCCTTGCCTTTCTTCTTATTACACATTTCAAAGAAGCTGGAGAATGTGTGTGATGGCATCAAGTAAACTCGATGATCACATTTGAAGAAAGAATATCGCATTTTTAGATTTTATTGTATAAAATATATCAAAGATTCTATAGATAAATTAATATAATCATGTGAACAAACAATATAAAAATAATAAGCTACGTAAGCTATCCATTTATAAGCTACGTAATTGGGTGATAATTATGAGTTGTGTCATTAGCTCATAGTAGCTGTCAGAATAATAAATGGAGTTATTCTTATAATACAGCAAAACAATTGCCTAAAATTTTACTTCGATTTTTATTGAATCATTCTCAGTCATGAAAACACGAGTGATTACTGCTGCACAACAACGAACGACGAAGACAACTAGGCTCTAAGTGTTCCATGGATGACAATCACTAACATTCCATGCTTCAAAGATGGCTGTTTTGTGTTCCTCTTCTTCTTCATTTTTGCCTAAACATGTTCGATGGGGTTTACGGAGGTCAGGTTTTTGCTAAGGACTGAGAGATATCCTGTTTCTTCATTTGGTTCGTTTTTTCTGCATGACAGGTGCGCCATCCTATTTGAAAATGATATCTTAACCACAAAAATTATTTCATTCCGCACGACTGTTCAGCCCAAAGTATGCCTTTTTTATGACAGTTGAAAATACAAATCTCACTGGCATCAATGTATCCACGGACATAGATACAACCCCCATCCTTGCTTAGCTATATGGAAACTAGATACTGTGGATGGGAACGCTCCCCACTTTTGTGACTGATATTCTTTTTCTAGTGATTAACTCAACAATTTATTCATAACAGCACACACTGTACTGAGTTTATTCCATAGCTCCATTGACCACTGTCATCGTTCCTTGCACGTTTGAAACCTGTTATCTTATGCCCGTTTTCACCTGTTTGTTTTCATATTAGTAAGGTAACTCTCTCTGCATGTATAAAGAAATTTGCAAAGTCGACTTCGTGAATGTATTTCAACTCTTTCAATGATTATTTAAAAATATTTCGCGGCATGAGATGGAAAATTTTCTTTGGTCAAACTATTTCGGCATTTTAAACTCACACATCAAATTTGGGAGACATATGCAAAACGAATGTCGTTTGATCTAGCCTGTGTCAAAACGAACTAATGGAAAACGAACTTTACACCATGATTGCTAGCTTTCGTTTTAAACGTGCTCCGTTTAACTGCTTCGTATATAAGTATTTCATAGGGAAAGTTGCACCACTTCTAGCCAAGGCTTGGTAGTTGCACTCACCTTTTAATACCTTTGATCCATTCTTTCGTGGAACTCAATAGTAATTAAGTGAATCAGTCTCATAGAACAATGTTTTCATGAACGTCGACTGTTACATGATGTCTGTTCCAAATGGTTGCTGTCAAATGAATATAAACTTCATGTAATAGTTCCTAGAAAGTAAACATTAAAACTCCATAGCATCCTTTTGTCTTCCTAGTAAAACTATCTGAAGCTATTTCTTGGAATGTAAGACTAAACAAATTAACCTTTAGTAAAAAAACAAATTTGACTTAACACTTCATTCTTATAAATCATGTTTATATAATTATGTGTATATTGAAAATGTTCATGACGTGGCATTGTTTATGTACGTCCTGCTGAGACAGAAGATTGCAAAACTATCAACAACACAGGTTTAATTGAATTACAAATAAATGTTGGCAAATTTTCGTCTGGAAGGTATAAAACAAATAAACTTACATTGAAAATAAACTTATCTACAATCTACAATCAATAATGAACGTTCAAATGAAAGTTTTCCAATAGTTGACGTTGTAATAAATCAAAATTTGCGCAAGTTTCGATGGGCTTGAATGCCAACGGACGACGTCTGCTAAGCTAACTGCAAGGAAATGCCATTTTCTCGAAATTATACAATGTTTCATCGATACGCCGCAACATTTCAAAAAATGACATTTCGTGTGGATTGGCTATAAAAAGATCTTTCAAAAATTTCAAATTTTCATTTTCGTTGATGGACGCTTTCACTTCGCTAAACACCCCAAACGGAATAATAATTTTACCAAGTTGTTTGGCATACAACAATTCCGCCGAACAGTAGTCGCTTTTGAAATACTCCTCGTTCAACCAAGCTATAAAACAATCGCATTTCTCCACTGAAATCTTTAAATCCAAAGCCAATGTACTTCCCATTTTCATATTCGTTTCATCAAGCCAAGTCAAGTATCCAAGGAAGTTGAGCCCTTCTTTGAACGAACGCATCTGCGGTTTGTCCTTAGATTTGTGGCTGAGAAAAAACTGAAATTTTGGAACGTATTTGGTGTACTTTATTTTCTGCTTTATAAGAGGGATAACGTTATCTTCTAAATATTTCTTCAGTTTCTCTTCGGTCAAAGCACTTTGTCGTAGTCGTTTCATTTCGTTGATGTTGATCAGCTTATCAACAATATCAAATGACACTAAGTCATTTTTGTCGCTGATTTTGAGATAGTGACATTTTTCAATTTCCAAAGACCAAATATCTCCACTGCCATCGTACTTAAAATTACACAGTCGAATAACAATGCCTCTTTCGAGCTCGTAATCGAATTGAAATTTTAGCCACCAATAACCAGTACGTCCGTCTAGTCCGTTATTTTCCAATATCTTCATATTGCTTGGATTCAAAGACGTCGAAAGTGGCTGAACGTTCAATTTTGAAAGATCCAACTTCCCATCACTACCAGCCATGTTTATGGCAAGGTCATTATGATACGCATGCGTGACTTCATAGATCTCTCGATGCGTGAGTTTTACAATTAGATATTCACGGTATGGCTTGGAAGTGTTTGAGTCTTACTTTTAGGAAGCAGTGTCGTTTGGGTTTTCTTTAGATAAAACATTCTTAATCCTGCATTGTTTGTCTGAGACTTAATTTTTTCACTTTGGTTTAGGAAGGCGAATACAGTTTGGTAAGCTTTTTTTACACCCGTACGTAAGTAAGATCTTCATTTAAATAATTAAATTTTTCCGTGTTTGAGTATGTTACAACTCAATGTTTGGTTGTTTTGACCAAATTGAAGCTGCTATCTTAAATGTCCTCAGAATATTTTCTTGCACTCTTAGTCATCAAATTTTTACAGTGTATGTTTTGATTTCTATTGCTTGTTCGTAAAGATCTTTTAAAACAAAAACAGATGTAAACCAAAAACAGATAGCAGTACATTGACGCAGTTTTAGCATGGTCACGTCCAAATGCAATTATTCCAATTTTTTCATTCTTTACAACAGATCTCTCAACCAAATCTCTATTTTATTTAGTGTTGACGTACCGTACAAAACACTTTCTGTCGGATGCTCAAGATTTCCATAATCTCTAGCTACGTAGAAAACAATGCTTAGTAGCCATTATTCCAGTTCTGTTGCCTTATACATAGAATGTCTTGAAACGTGGCAATAATAAAGTGTTTGTTTTATGGGTACTGTGTATGTTAAATGTGATTGGTTTATTTGCAGTCACATGACTTTGAAAAATTACAATGTTTCCCTCCAGCGAAAGAGCAAAAATTAGCGCCCGCGCATTTTAATATGATAACAAAACAGCTATGAAGCTGAAAACGAAAAAAAATTTTCTCGAATCTATTCAGCGACGAAATTTAATTATGTAGATAAAATGGATTCAGAAAACACTCCATTGTCGACTAAGAATTCTGATGTCACTCATAGTCTTTTACAACGAAATTTTGCAAGCCGAATCTCCCCGAAAAACGTTCATTTTATTGAAGACATGTTGAAATCTATGACCTTTCTTCCTGTATAGCAAAACAATCAACGTACGTTTACTCGAGAAATATAGAGATTTGGTGTCTCAATTGAGACTTTTGGAAAGATGGTTTTATACTTATTAGAGTCACTGGTCATTTTAGCTATCATCTCATCTTTAAAGTGGTTATATCACGAATTTTAGCCCCCCTTTTTTATTAGCTAAATTTAAAGACCTTGTTTCAGTGATTTTAAATCTGCAATTATAATTGAAATTGGATTGGTGAAAGTGATTTTACGGACGTTCAAAATCACGATTTTCAGCATTTTTTTTTGCGAACTTTTTGATTGGTATGCTAATGACTTGTGACGTAGAAAGTTGAACACATATGTCAACATAACATATTCTACTAGTAATCTTAATAAGAAACGCGGAGGAAAACGCTGTGTTGCTGGCGGACCTAATCATATTAGTTGCGCCAATGATTCAAAAACCGAAGGAATGTCGATGCATCTGTTTCCTAAAAAAGAAACAGAGCCGCAAAGACATAGAAAATGGGTAAATTTTGTGCGTAAACATAGACCGGGTTTTGAGGCTTCCTCTACCTCGTGTCTGTGTTCTGCGCATTTTGAAGATTCTTGTTTTGACCTTAATTTGAGCGTGGAAGTCAAGCTCAAAAGAAGGTTGAAGAAAGATGCTATCCCAACCATTGACGTGGCTGGGATTCCTGAACCAGTATCTCTTTCATTTCTTCTTGCAATCCAACTCTTTTGCCACACATTGCGTTTTTCGGTTTGAATGCCTTTTTCCTTTTTACAACAACAAAAATAAAAACAGAAACAGCAGAAATTTTCTTAGCATCGTGGTGAGAAGTTTGAATCTTGTATCGGGAATTTGTTTATTGAGTGATTGTTACTTCTCGCCATGGCTTTCGGGTTGTTGAGTTGCATTTTAACTCCTATACGAAGGCTATTTCTCAAAAAATTATCAGGCTGTTAGAACAAGCAACCGAAAATAGGAACCGAAACAATCGGATCAGACAAATCGGATCGTGTGAACGGACCTTAATTTACTGTTTTGCTTGAATCGTGCACAGCTGATTATAAAACATGCTAAATATACGTACCACTATTTCGTTGTTTATGAAAGTACTCACTTCCTTAAACATTTTTCTTATTGTCTTACAGCTATCTACATAATTTTTGCTAACTCGTCGTTGTTTTGACTGCCCATTTCGCTTTGAAACCACTTCCCGCGTTTTTAAATGTTCCCGCCATAAAGATTTCTTCTTTAATCGTGATGCCAAGGCCAATTTCTTTCCTCAAAGCCTAACTGCTCTTGGTCTTAAGCTCCTAAATTGAAGTATCAGGAGTGCCTATTTCCAGTGCAATATAACAAAAAACAATGGCAATACAATTGCAATTGTCGTGCTCCAAATTTATTTACAAACGGCGCTCCAAAGACTACGCTTAAAAACACATAGATAAAAGAGACAGGCAATATTTAAAAAAAAATTAAAAGCTTATGAATTTTTTTTGTGCTACACCTTGATTGGAAAATTCATTATCATTTTGTTAATCTGGTTAAAGAAAATTAAAACCTACTAAGCTGTTATAAATTCTTATTGGTACAGAAAAAAATCATGCGATGCTACCTCGAAAACAGGGTCTTTATAGCTGATCTAAATATTTCATGAATTTGTTATCAATCCTCCTTGGTATTTTTGCCTATACTTTACCCACAAGGCAGCAGTTTTTACTAAGTTCATTAAAACATAAATGACTCATTTGCTGAGCATGATCATCTGAAATGGTTGCATCACTTTTTATCATCCAGGTCAGTTTTCCATTTACAGTACAAATATGATGTCGAAATAGGCAATCTGATTCAGGAGCAAGCGCGTGAATATAGCAATTTTCAATTTTAAAGATTGTTGATGGTCCACGAGAGCTTTCAATATGAAACGCGCCATAGCTTGAAATTGTATTACTGATAGATTTCCAAACGTTTTCCTTGTTGAAAATAATATTCACCCGCGTATTTGGATCAAATCCAATGCTAGACATTAAAGTGAATTCTTTAACAAATGTTTTATTTTTAACAAGCTGTTTCAATTTTACAGTATTTTCCTTAGCCATGGTCCAAAACTTGTGCAGATCAGGTTGAGAATAATTCATGTGATAAGATAATACATATATAAACACTCCCAAGTAATCATCTTGAGGTTTTTTGTTGCCGTAAGATCGGTTGTTGAAAGCAAACTGTGTTTCTAAATTCAACATTTTTTTATCTTTCTCGTCCAATAATTGATAAAATGCCAAGTGAGTAGCAGCCGTTATTGCTCCAGTAACTGTACAGCCGTTGGCTTTGCAAGCTTTAACAATCATCTTTGTTTCTTCTTCATTAAACGTTTTCATTTCTAAACGCTCAACTGATTCAGGAAGGACAGTATCCAAAGAGAGTGGTGGGTATTTTTGATAAAATGGATTAAGGGCTTTCTTCTTAAGTTTGTATAAAACCATTTGCTCAAATAGAAAGGTTAAGATCGAGCGAACGCCAAAGAAATTAGCGATCAAGCGGAACAAAGTATGGCCGACTTTATCCTGCGTAATCAAACTGTGCGCACTTGGTAACAATTTTAGACTTGAAATTTCTTTTTCGTCATAGCTAATTCCATCGGATATCTCATTAAGACTATTTATAAAATGCTCCACAAACTTAACTGTAGAAATGCCATCGATACAAGAATGTTTAAAAGAAAACATTATCATATTTGTATAAACCTGTGTTGTGGCATTATATTCCTGTTGAAGTATAACAGCTTTCCATGATAAATCATTTTTATGAACCGTTGAGGTGTACTTGTATATTAATTCTTTCCAATCAGAAATTTTATCATCAGATTTCTTGATATCAAAGAGCGGAATAACATCTTTAATATTCTTTATGTCATAGTAAACTTCGCCATCCTTCTTAGTTGAGATTACACATCTCAGCATTGGTTGACGCTTTACTAGCAATACCAGAGAATCGTAAACATCTTTAAACAACAGACTTTGTTTAGATGAAAGGGATACAACACATGATATATTTCCGGCTCCATCGTTCAATGTTGATGCACATTCAAACAACTTCTCATTGAAATCGAGGCGTCTACTGTTTACATTGCATGCAACATTTCCTCTGGACGATAGGGATTTGAGAAGTTCAAGTGCCAAGAAAAGAAGCAAAATTAGTACAAGCAATTGCAAGAGCCAGCTGATATATTCTGCCATTTTAAAAGCTTTATGGTTATAAACACATAAACATGTACCAATTTGATTTGAGTTTTTTGAGGTTTAGATTCAGATAAAGACATGTGAATGAACACGTGACAAAAGCAAGAGCCTCCTATTACGTTCCAGAACATGTCAAGTCAAAACCTTTTTGTTGTTTTGTATGTAAATTAAGTTAAAACCAAAGTGATTATTCTGTGACCAAAGTCCATAAACTTAACAATCGCTTTTTTCATCTCATTGAACATGCTAATATGACGATATTTTCGACGAAGACAGAAAGTAAGTGAGAGCTCAAATCTCAATGAAAATAATTCCAAAGGATGGTTCCTTGTTATGCTGCTGTTGTGCATGCATCAGTCAGCTTATTTTCATGATTTCACAATTTTCATTACTTTGTTACTTTGCTTCGTTTACTTCAAGCAAGAATTAAACAAAAATCCATGGTCTGGGATATTTCTTAACCATGTACAGAGAAGAATTCATCACCAATTTTGGTAGAATAACTGTTATTTACTTTTACCTTACAAAACAAAAGACCATCAAAACAAAGACAATCTCTTAAATTATATTCATATTCGTCAATATGCAGTAAAATATGTCTAATAATGCGGTCTTTTTATCGGAATTATCCTTGAAATACTCATGCCGTGAATACCAGTAAATACTCGTTGTAAGCATTTCAGACTACAGACGGCAGTGGTGGCGAAACGTAATTCGTATTGGATAAATAGGCTAGTCAGCCAGAT